GTGGGTGAAATCTACTGTATATCTGCTAATGCTCTTCCTTTAGACTAAATGTGAAAGCCTGTTCTAAGTTCTTTATCCACGGGACAGCTGGAGCTCTAGGGACTGGTGAAGCATAGACACTTTGCAAGGCTGACCATGAGTTTGCACACAGGTGGATCTGAATGAAAATCCACTGGTCTGGAAGGAGCTGTGTGCGCGTGAGTGTAGGGGGGAGATGTAGAGAAACACCACAGCAGCAGCTATGTAAGCAGCAGAGAAACTCTGGAGAAGCACTTGAAACAGAACACCTGAGGGAGAAAAGGTCCAGAGTGTGCTATGGGACAAGTGCCACATAGGAAATGCTGGGAACCACCATCTTCACGGAAAATGTTTTCCTTCATTTGCGTCATATTGAATTTAGGACAACAGAACTGTATGTATACTATTTATAAATAAACATGATTGCACCAAAGAGGTAACTGACTTATAACTGTTTTTCCCATCTATGTGACCCTTTTTTTTTTTTTAGCCTACTGGTTGGGTCCAAAGGATAGCCATAATTTGGATTGTTTGGGAAATCTAGTTCAACAGTGTGAAACCAGCAAATCCCCATAAAGGGGAGTTTCATGAATAGAGTTTTGTTTTTTTCCCCCCTCCCTTTTCCTCTCTCCACTTGATAGTAGAGTGACTTAATACCGAGTATCTGGGCTACCATTAAGGGACTTGGAGAAAACAGATTAACAGGTAAGAAATGAGCTATGTTAATGGAATATGCATTATAAAAGGCAAAGTGGTCCTTTTAGAGAAAGAATAAGAAAGGAGGTTATACTGTTTTCATGTGCTATGCCTGCATATAATCTATATGAAAATAAAAATTTATTACTTGTTTTTACATCTTTTTTTAAACAATAATTATGGGCTTGCTAAGGTATGGAAGTGACCTAATAGTTATAATAGTGACCTCTAAGTTATTGTTAATTTTACTGTCAGTATGTGCTTCACATCTCCTACTTAATGGTATGCTAATTGTACAGCAGGATGTCACATTCTCCAACATACAGATTCCCTATTTCAATTACAGCTAAGTAAATCTCCATTACTAATGAGTAAGCATTTCTTTTCCATGTACATTTGCATTATAATGGGCATTTTCTTTGTGCACTAAAATTATTCTTTCCTTGACAACAACTATATATTTTATTTTACAGTAAAGGCTAAGACATGATGATTCATTCCTTTCCGTTGGGTTTATCTGTATTTAAATTGTCAAATGTTCTGGATAGCCTGACATTTTCTGTCCCATGTTATTTTTCTGTACTTCCAGAATAAATGTATGTATTTGCTTTAAGACAACCTACGTAAGACAAATCACAAGAAAGTAAGCTTACGTGTTGGTCATCGATTAAGCTGTGTTTTTGAAATTGTAGTGTTTCGCTCATGTTTCTCAGAAATCTTAACTATTTATGTCAGTGCAAAGTGACCTTTATGATATGTTTGACAGATTGGAATGTAAAGAAGACGTGACCACGTGTGACCCATATCATTGCAAGGTCCCACTCTGCTTAACAGAGCATAGCTCTTTGGCTATTAAATACAGCCCCCAAACAGACATTTGCTGCCCTGCTGGTGCATAGATCTACGAATGCAGCGGGCAGCTGAGCCAGACAAGGGGGAAGGCTTCTGCTGGATCTGAGCTGTGAGCTCTGCTGCCAAATCTGCTCCCTCCTGGGGGCTCTGGCCAGTCACTGGGTGCCACTGAACTGCTGAACTTGGGCAGCCGGTGCTGCTGGCAGAGGATTCCCTTCATCTGCCAGCACAGTGACCCAAGAGGCTTTCCCTGCCCTGCCTCAGGAAATAAGGCAAATTGAGTCCTCCCTTCAGTCCACACGGCCCTGGGAAAACGTGCCACCCTTTATACACAATTAAGGAGTGTGAATTTTATTGATAAAGTGACGGCAGAACCTTCGATAATACGCAGCAAAGAAAGTGTTGCTGTGATTTTGGTGGGGCCACTCCCTATGCAGTGAATTATGTTAGAAGGATATTTTTTTAGATGCCCAGAGAAGGTTTATGTATCATTAATTAACAATCATTAATATTCTTGACGATTTTTAAGCTGGCCTAGTGGTGGGTATGTATATGGGGAAGATGCTGGGCGTTGGGTTCTTTTAATGCTATAAGTACATGGGATATTTTAAAGAAGTAAAAATATAGTGAAAGCTTTAGGGAGCATTCCAGAAATGCAGGAGGAAATGTATGCAACCAGAAGTTAGAACTAACAGATTGATTTTCCTGGTCACTGTGCATGAATTCTTTCTAGCCTTGTGTATATCCTGATAATCGGATGGCTTACAGTATAGATACAAAGTTTGTTTTGTTTTTATTTTGAAAGGCCTACGGTATGCAGCCTTTTTCCCAGACAGCAGCAAAAAACAAGGTGAACAATTTTTGCACTATGTGGTTTTGAATTCTGTCATATTTTCTTATTCCGTTTCTGTCTTCCATTAGGATAGCTTAGTTTATTAACCATCACCCACCTCCCCTCGAGGCCGCGTGAGGTGGCCCCGGCGCCGCTCGGGGAGCGCCTGCTGACACCTGCCCCGAGCACCCACCCCGGAGCTCAACCAGTCCCATTTCCTGCATGAAAAAAAATAAATTGAAAAAAATTAACCAAAAGACGCGCTGGGAGCGCATTCCCCTCCCGCGCAAAGCGAGCCAAGCCATAACCAGCATTTCATTGCTGTTGGGGGAGAATGAATGCCTCAGACCTCGCTGCTCAATAGGACAGTTGTCCACAAGGGTTATGGACCTTTTTTTTTTTATTGTTTCTATTAGCTTTTCAAATATTTTGCATCAACGAATGTTTTCGACATACTCACGCACTAAATATACTGCATTCAACTAAAAATCTTTCCCGTGGGGGGAAAAAAAAAGTGGCTGTTTATATTTAGAAATAATGATGTTTTCAAAACTTTACAGTGTGAATGCTGAAGGAAGCTTCTTCTGGTGCTTTATTTAACATCATGGTTTCTGGCTTGAGTGGATGATTTTTCTTGCCAGCAAGTATATTTCCGTATGTTTATGAAATTCCACATCTCTTTGCCAGCATATTTCCTAACAATGGAATATCTGGGATATATGAATAAGTAGTGCAAATAAAATTTAAGAATCCTGGAGTCCCAAATCTATGGTGAAATTCTGGGACCTGTGGGGGTCTTCTCAGTTTGATTTTTTACCTGGATAGATCTTTCACAAAAACTGTTTTTGCTTATTTAATTGGCCTTTTACTGCCACCCATCTGATTTTTTTTCCATTTCATAAAGATAAGCATTGCAGCTAATATGAAAGAAATACAAAGCAATATTTTATCCTGATTTTTCTCATTCTACAGGCAAATCAAGTACACCAACAATGCAGTATCTTTAGTTGTTTCTGAAATATTGTAAAGAAAGGACTCCCAAAGTGCACTGCCAATGGACTTTGGAAGGGGAAAGATTTGGTGAAATAGGAACGTGTTCTTTACAGCCAAATTTGATGATATTACGATGCCACATAGGATTGGGCAGTAAAATTAAAGGAGGAGAAATGATAAAAGGTCAAGTTACACTGTTAATCTGCACAACAAAGGAGGGCAGAGTTCTGAGATGAAAAATCACAGGTTAAGGGTTGTTAGAGTGTCCTTTTCCCCCTAAACTTGCTGGCCCCACAATCCAACATTCAAGGTATCTAAACTTGAGCGTAGGCAGTGTGGGTCGAGGCCGTCCCCAAACCCCTTGTGTCCAGGGGGCTCTGGTCAGATGAGTCATGTACACACCATGGCTGCTCTTCAGCTGCAAGTGCCACTTCTGAGTAGCACTTCTTACACTGCTCTGTTGGAGGAAACCTTTCACACAAGAACTTAAGTGACTGTATTTCCCAGGCACAGAAAAATGAGAATCAGGCAGATGCCAGTTCTGGCAGTCAGTGGGAATTGGTAACTCTACCTTTACAAAATGACATTAAAAGTAGCTTGATCAGATTTTTATCAAGATAATTTATTGAAGCATAGGAGTAATTTTTTCAGAGATCTGAACCCATTGAAAAGTGACACTTGACATGAAAAGGCATGGGAGTTTTATCTGAGATATGACAGCTCTTTTGTCTTCTACGTGTAGAGAAAAGTGTGGCATTTCAGATAACAAACATAAACATTTAACAGTGGCCACTGGCAATTCTGCTTGGTTTTAGAGCTATAGATTCCTAGAGCAAAATTCTGCCTCCAAATTATATGCATGCTGCTCTCATTTATTTCAGCAAAGCTTGTGCACATGTTTCAAAGGTCAGAATTTGGCCGTTGGGGGTGAATTTTCAAGGAAGAGTATATTAAAGACATCTGTGCATCAGCAGAACCATATCCTTTGTCTTCTGTAGAACATTTCAGGAATGAGCCTAGTGCTATTGAGCACGGCAAGTGAAACTTTTTTCTATTTTTTGAATTGCATTGGGATTGCTTAGCAGAAACATTTCTTGCAGTAATTGGTTCATGATTTCATTTATTTCTTGTAACTCAACACTTTGATGCTGAAAAGTCAGTTTTAAGAGAGAAAAGACTGGAAGGGAACACCCTTCAGAAAATTACAGTTGAAAATATACTGTAACAATCAAACCAAGGGAAGTAGTCCAAGGAAATAGGTATGGTCTGTTGAGGTGCACAAACTTTTGTTTGCCATCTAATACAGAGAGGTCAACAAGTGTTTTACACGAAGGTAGAAAACAAACCCACTTTTCATTGTGGACAGAGCTAATCAGACACTTGAAAAAAAACCTTAAACTTGGCATTCATATTCTATTGGAGTTAGTGTGTATTAAATTGATGAAGATCTTTAAGCATGTAGGTTTTCCCCTGTTTTTTAAACATTATACACTTCTTAAAATGTTTATAATGTCTAATTGCTGCTGGATTTCAAGACATATCAATTTTGTTCTTAGTTCCTGCAGATTTTGACAGCATGTCATACCAAAATATTTTGTATTTTTTGTAGGACTGGGAAACAGAAAATCATGACTGGTATTGTTTTGAATGCCATTTGCCTGGAGAGGTGTTGATATGTGACCTGTGTTTTCGTGTGTATCATTCCAAGTGTTTGTCTGATGAGTTCAGGCTTAGAGACAGCAGTAGTCACTGGCAGTGCCCAGTTTGCAGGGTGAGTACCTATGAGATTTCATGTGCTGATTAGAGGATTGATATTCATTAAGGTGTCCAGATGGTCTGGCCAGGTTAATGGATAAAGAATTAAATATTGAAATGATGGTACATACCTAGAGCATCTCTACAGAGATACCAAAATACAGTGCATATAGCAGATGATTCTTTTGAAGAGTCCAGTGAGTTTTGCTTACGCATTTGAACACACACAGTATACTCTGCAGGAATGTGTGGCCATAGTATGCCACGCGTCAATGCAGTATATTGTGGAAATCTTCAACATGAGTAAACAAATTGCTGTATAAGATGTTACTGGTTTTACTTAAGATGGTTTTAATGAATCATAATGTCACTTTTTTTTTGTATTTTGATGACTGCATTCTGAATATTTTATTGGAATAATATTTTACATTATGAAGCCACAATCATGTTGCTGATGAGGGAGGTATCAAAAATACAGAGTGAAATCCTGCTTCTCATTTACTGCTGTGGATTCTATTGGTGCAAAAAGGGCAATCTGGATTTCACTCATAGCAGCCATATTTATATTGCTTTTTCTTTAAAAATGCTATTCTTATGTGTATGGTAGGGAGACAGCAAAAAGTCTTTTTTATATACTTTCCAAGAATGGGCAGGTGTGTTGTCTACATGTCATTAAAAGACTAAATAAACATTCTAGCCAGGATGGTGCTTACTGGTACCTGGCCTTGAATCAGCCAGATACTTCTTGCTGTTGTCACCTCCATGTCACCTTCCCCAGTAGAGCACATTGCTAGGCCTCCTGCAGAGCTAGGCTCCCTTCCTATGGAGGGAATAATGCTTATGAATGTTTAAGACAAAATTGTTACTGCAGAAAGGCATAAAACTGCTAGTTCCACTCTGCCTAGGATTGCTGGAGGGAGAGGCAATTCCCTTGCTAAAAGCTCAGGTCTGTCTGTAGAGCAACAGACTGACCTTCAGATGGTCTGTGCTGCAAGGAAGGTCAGGGTTCAGGCACTTCTAGTGCAGAGAAGCAGTTTTTGAAAACACGTGGATTGCTTTATTTCCAAACAGCACTTTTTGACTGCTGTTACCTTAGAACCAGTTGTGAAAAACCTGTTGCGTGTTGCCTCAGATTAGGAGCTCTCAGGGTTTATGGCAAGAGTAAGAAAATCAAGCCTGCCTCAAGGAAGTTGAAAGGAATGAAACAGAAGTAGTGGCAGGGAAAAAAACAGTTAAGAATAAAGACATGTACTATATCTCTGCATATTGAATTTAGTTTAACTACTCACGATTTCCTCTGTTAAAAACAAAGAATGGCTGTATATAGATGAATCGCTTTCATATTTTTAAATAAATCTCCTTAATAATTGTTGGTCATAAAACATATTGGTAGTTCCTATAAATAGTTAAAATTAGGTAAACTGGATCCAGTCTCCACTCGAGTTTGCCAGTAATTTTAGATGACACCTGGTGAGAGCAGGGAACATAAATGGTTCATGCCACCTTCTATATGAGGTGGTTTTATAACATCTGTCTCGTACCATGGATGTCATCAGAGTGGAACTGCTGAATCACTGAATGAAATAGGCACCGATACGTCAGCTTTGGGAACAGTTTGTCTTTCATCCTGAAGCCTTGAAGTCCTTTATGGCAATGATATTAAATAAATGTTTATCTTGACAAAAATCCGCAGAGGCCAAGGAGAGGTTTGGGGAGCTCTTAAATCCTTCCTGCCACAGAGGTCGTTGGCTTGCTTAGTGCCTCAGGTGATGATCAATCTATTTTTGTGAATATTGCCATTATGAACACTATGGCATCCTTTTTTTCCCCCCATGTTGGCAGCAACTATTTTTCCTGTAGTTAATTTAAATCACTTCAAGGCCTAATTCTGAAACCTTGGACTGAGGAGGCTTGCACAGTCCCTGTAAGCGTGGGAGTTAGCATCCTTGTGTCAGGCTTCAGTATTCTTCTGCTAATTTCTCCCCACCCTGCTAGGAAATGACTGCTCTAATTTCATTTTAAAAGCAAGAGAGTGACCTATATTCAAAAACCTGGTGATGTGGACAGCCCTGGCTGATGTCCAGGGGATGTAACAGAGCTTGACTATCTGCATAAGGGCAATGGGATTTACTTTGCATTATCAGCAGTAAATATGCACCTTCAAGAAAAGTGATATCTGCAACAAAGAGATACATATATTTTCATAGCTAATTCTTATAACTGGACATAGCTCTTTTCACTTAGGGATTTCAGAGCTCTTTACAAAGGTGAAGTGAAAGTGTGTTTGAAACGTGATATACTTGGAGAAATAATCTAAGAATACTTCATTCCTGTGTAAAAATTGCCTCTCTAATTCTGCCATGATCAGCAAACCTTTGGATTAGGCATTTCACAACTGCTGGTTGTACTAGTTCGATCAACCTGTGCAGCTTTATTTGCACACTTGACTAACCAGAAACATTTTATAAAGGACATTACCAAGGCTTTGTTTATAACTTTAAAATATTTTTCCTCACATAATGTTAATAACAGTCCCTTGCAAACTTTGTTATGAACTCTGTTTCCCTTCTGGTTGTTTTTCTCCACTGCATCCATAAAAACAATGTCCAGTTTCTGCTTTAATTTTTTTTTTAAAATTAACTTGACAGTATCAATCTGAATATTTTGCACTCTATATAACTCTCAGCAGGAGTCAAAAGTCAAAGTTCAATTCAAACCACATTGCAGTGACTGAAATCTTTTCCTCTGACTACTGACTAATCATTGTCTTAAGTGAAATAAATTGGTATTATCAACAAAATTCCTGGCAGACAGGTCACAAGAGAAAAAACTTAATATTGAGTGAGCTTAGAGATTATATTTCCCACTACTGGAGTGGTCCATTCAAGACAGGGTTAGTCAGCTCGGTCCCTGAAGGATGTAGGAGACTTGTACATTTACTGCTGCTCTTCAGTTAGATAAAAGGAGGAAATTAATTTTCTTCAGCTGTTAATTTACCACCTAAAGACTACAGAAAGTGCTGCAAAAATACTAGTGTATTTTTACAAGGGGAGCAGATGTATAAACAATTATGAATAGGAGAATATTGATCACATGTTGGTGTAACTGACTATTATTTCTTTTCTAAAAATCCAAATTTTAAAATCATTTTTCAGAAAGGCAAAATTAAGTATGGTGATATATACTTTGTCCCAGAGAAATAGATTTTGGTTTGTGAAACAAAAAGGAAGAATTATTCATATGGTTTCACTTGACTCCTAAATTTTTTACAATCATCTGGTTAGAGACTGGTCTTCAATGCACGTGCTTTGCAAGGAATTATAACCAATTTACCTATCATTGTGGGTGTCTCAATATTAATGGGGTTTATAGATGTAAGGTTAAAGTAATCTGTAGAGCTTAAGATATTAAATGTTGTGCTGATAAGTATTCTATAAATAGGCTGTTTCTGAGTTCTGGTACTGTGCTAAGCATTTCATAGAGTACATAAAAATACATCATTATGCAGTTCACAATCAACTTCAGACAATATTTGACAAGTGAGAATGACAAACAGTAGGAAGTTAGAAGCACATAAAGATGGAGGTTACTTAAGTAACCGAAGTGCTTAGGTTGGGGTTTCAGGTACTAGGTGTCAGTCAAGGTGGTTAATGTAAAATACAAGGAAGGAAGAAACAATATAGCTCTATTGACTTTATGAAGGGTTATGGTAGGAGTTTGTTAGATAACTATATGATGAAACATATTCTTGAAACCAGATTTGGCATGATCACACAGATTATACTAGTCATGGATTGATGGCTAAACAGAAGTCCTAATATAGGACCAAAATTAGCATCGCATGGTTCAGTGTGCAGAGCCCACACCTGAGGAGGTGCAGGTCCCTCCCATGCTGGCAGAACTGGGCACCACATAGGACATACTGAATAAAGTATAACAGAATTTATCCACAGCAATGAAAAAACTAGGAAACCTCCACTTAGTGCCTCCTACCACCTTCTTTGTGCACATAAAAGCATATTTAATTCATATGATGCTGCATATGCAGAAAGTGCTTAATGCACCGTACGAGTAGAAATCAATTTGTGGATTCAGCTGTAACATTTCCAAAAGCACCTGATGCTTTGAAAAGTCTAGTTTAACTGCATATGGTCTTGAAAGAGACAAGTCTTAGGCTATCTCTTGCTCATGCAGAAGCTTTTCTGTATGCTGCCTAGGGAATACGGTGCACGATTGCTCTGAAACCCATTCCACGTGCCTGCATACCTTTCTTAATGGCACAGGAAACCTGAGGACCTGAGGGTTGGAAGTTTGAGGGGGCAGCAGAGCACTAAAGTTTTCCATATGTAGCACCAAATTCCACTGGAAATTTAAGCCCTAAAAAAATTCAAGGGCCAGTGTGTAAAGCAAGGAGCAGTGGTGACTGTATGGTAGACTCACTCACATAGTTCCCCTCTGCAGATAGACCCCTGGAAACCTGAATTGCTTCTGAAAATGAAACTGGTGCCTTAGAAACATGTATCTGTCATTGAGCAGCCTTCACATAATCCATCACTGAGCCGAATTGCAGCTCTTTGATGCGTGTATGCTCAGGACAGGTGAGAGAAAAAGGGAAAAATATTCCTTAATAGGAGATCATTGGGAAACAGAAACCTCTTTACATGGAGCAAATACAATTTAAATGCTTATAGCTGGACAGAATGCTGGTACTGACACCTTGCGTTTCTCAGAGTTTTTTCTATTTTTTTCTCTTCAAATGGAAGATTGAAGCAGCTGCAGCATTGTTACCCTGGGAGCTGAGAGCTACATGCTAACTCAGTGCAGAGGTTACTCACTGCCATCATCACTAGTGCTGCTGCAGGTTGGAGTGTTCCTTGGCAGAGCCCTTAGCTGCTGCTAACCTCCTGTGGTTCGTGCAGTCTTGTAGTGAAGTCCTGCACTGTAAGCATGTCAGAATTGCTCAATAAGTCACACCTGTACAGTGCAGTATATTGCTACCCTCCTTAACAGCTAGGC